AACTATACTGCCAATAGACCAAAGCTGCACGTCATTCTTCTCCAAGCCCGAATTCCAAGAACGAAACCATCCAAGAAACTCGATTTCCCCACGTTCCTATCATACATCCACATCTAAAAAGTCAAGTACCGGACTCTACAACCTCGCCCTCACCTCACCGACAACCTCCTCCCAACCCTCCAGCTCACTCACAGCCCTCTCCACATCCCCCTCCACACTCGTCTCCCACGTCCACCTCCAATTCTCCTTAATCGCTCTCCCATTCTCCTCCAACCGCCCCTGATTCTCCTTCTTCGTAAAATCGACGATCTTGCTAAAGTCGACGGGGAGGGAGAAGTCGATTGGCGTGGTTGGGCCGGTGGGGGAGGGTTTTAGGCCGAGGACCGAGGGTACTGAAGACGAGGATGACGATGGAGAGGGAGATGATTGAACGTCTGGAAGCTGCAGCCCGAATAACGACCCATTGACGAGCGAGCGTCGGGCGACTTCGTTAGCGACTGGACGGCGGATGGAGTCGTATATGCTTAATGCGCGAGCAAGCGTGGATTTAGTGGTGAGGTGATGTCCGAGGAGTGTGGCGAGGAGGTACGCATCCTGTTCGATCGATAAGTAAAGGAAGGAGTAAGAGAGAGTTGGGGATGGGCTTACCTCAATGGCTTGACCTCCTCCGGATGCTTGTTGCGGCGACATCGCATGAGCCTGTGGGCGAGAATGAGCTCGTGTATAAAGGTGAATGGAACCGTGGAACGCACAGCGTCGCCCAACAGACACACGTTCCCGAATACCCAATCGTCCAGCGGCACCGACGCGTGGATAGCCCATCTCAGCGGATTCTCGATGCACTGTTAAATACAAACGGAACATCAGTCTTTCATACATCACGAGAGGATAGAATGGGACTCACGTCGAGAATAGCACGAACTTCAGGCTCCCAGCCCTCATGAGCCTTGATGAGATCGGTCTCCGTCACCCTCGTCACCCAAGGACCAGGGAACTTCGTCCCTGCCAGGTCGGGGCGGGAGTGGAAAGCGCCGACGTTGATCACCTTCCCTACGGAGATGGGGTACACCACGACGTTCTGTGCAATTCCAACATCAGTACACATCGAAATACGAAGAAGCTAGACTCGAACGCACGATATGTTGGCCTTGATACTACACGAATACTCGTCAGACTCCATTGGCACAGATCGAATAGACGCACACACCATGGTAGGCAACGAATCCCTCTCCGGCACTCTCACGCTCTTCCCCTTCTCTGTCTCCTTATACGCCTTCAGCCTCTCAACCGGAATCAACGCCCTGTACGCAACTATCCCCGTCCACCTCGGCTCAATCGCACTCAACAACGCATCAGCCTCTCCTGGCTTGCCGTATTCCAACGCGCGTGCAGCTTGCTCGTGCAGGAGACAACGGCGGACGACAGACTTGACGCCGTCGCATCCGATGAGGAGGTCGGTCGTGGCGGTGGTACCGTCTTCGAATGTGAGGTGGACTGATGGGGTGGTGGAAGATGGGGATGGGGCAGATGGGGTGGATTGGGTATTAAGGAAGGTGGGGGTGGTTTGGGTGTATGAGGAGAGACGCTTTTTGTAGTGGATGTGAACGGAGGGTGGGAGGTGAGAGACGAGGACTTTCTGCATGTCTGGCCGGTGGTAGGTGAGGAAGGAGCCTGGAAAAGTAGAGGTGTTTAGTGATCGCATGCATGGGGCGATTGCATGAACCCAAAAGTCGGCGTGGTTTATACACGTAGTGTAGCAGACTTACCATCTGTCTCAAGCTTGTAATATTGGTGTCCTTCCTCCTGGTCGCTTTTCCTGAAGAGGAACGTATCGACTATACACAACTTGCCGTCAGTTACGTCGCCAAAAACCGGTTCAACTTGCATACCTTTACCGCTCTTCGGTTCCAAGTGCGTCGCCTTTGCCATGTCCTCTGCTAGGCCTAGCTTGGCCAGAGTCTTCCAGATTCTTGGCCACACACCGACACCGGCACCGACCTCTGAGAAGACGGCCGCCGCCTCGTATATCGTGACATCGATGTCTGGGTATTTGGCTAATGCAAGCGCTGCGGTCAGACCGCCGATACCGCCGCCACTGAACAACGATTGCGAATAAGAAAATGAAACGAAGAAAGCCAGTGAAGCACATACACAATCGCGACTTTGAGCTTGGGTGAGGTGCTAGAGACTGACATTTCCAGATGAGAGCCGAGCGATTGTCGAAGAGTGTAGACTGAAGAGAAGTGTTCTGGGTAGTCTCTCAAGAGCTAGCGTTATATACGGCGAAGATGAGCGACGTCCGGCGGTATGGGGTCCAGAATCCTCTATATAACGGGCGAGCAAAGTCCACGGTCTCGGGTGTTCCACGCAGTTTTCGGCAGGCGACCATAACTCGTTTGGCGGCGCATCCTCGGCTAGGTGCTGTATGAAAGCGGACTATCTTGATGGTAGATAGGTATCTCTTGCGGGTGGTATGAAACTGAGGTGAATGTGGCGGGAGGGGTGGAGGAATAAGAGCAAGTTGCATTCGGCTGCCGTGGCGAGGTTGATGCGCCTTTCTAGAGCCACCGAGGCCTTCCGCGGCTCCGGCGTCCGCAACACAGTGCGCACGAACCAAGAGTCAATCCGTCTCGACGTCTACGAGTTGCTACAAAGGTGGAAGCACCAGCTGCTATGAATCAACCATGCGCGGCATATCCGCGGTGAGCCTGGGGCTTACTCCCGTCCGCGATGGAGACATTCAGTGTACAGTTTATCAATATTTGAGGGCTATTAGGCCAATCGCCAGGCGGACTTGAATGTAATGCGTATTCGAAGAGATCCAGATTGAGGTCCGAAGCATGGCTTTTGAACGACGCTGAGCTTAAAACAACTTCAGAAAAAATGCTAAGCACCCAACATCCGGTTGTGACGCAACACCATGGGCCCGCCGTGTCACTCGGAATGAAGCCGCCACGGTTCTATGGTCTAGGCCCAACTATAATCGTTGACAACCGCTGCGCCAACTCCGAGTCGCCGCCGGACGGGCATACTTTCAGTTTTCGATTTATGTGACGACGAGCTCGTCGACTTCCCGAATTCTGCATGCTATACTCTGATAGGTGTACACTTCTCGCACATGCATGTCCTTCCGAGCCGATGGGAAAGCAATACCATTGGCAATATTGGCCTCAAAAGCAGTACTGATGCTAGGTGTATTGTCTTGCATTGCATCCGATTGTGGCTGTCTCTGGCAACAGTGCCAATTGACACTGGAGGAAAACAAAAATGCGCAAGCTCCCTCAGGAAATACAACATTATCCATTTTGGATCATATGTCTCATTCAGTTTTGTCGGTCCGCAACTTTTATATCCCTCGAGTGTGAACGCCTTGTCCTTCAGGAGTTTCACTGCGACGCTTAGGGTTGCCTCTTCCGTGTCTTTTGTTGCTTGAGGCCCTGTACTGTTTGGAAATGCCACCTTTCTAGGCAATAAACGTTCTGACCTGTTCCTGCTAGGCAATGGGCCAGCTAATCGCACTTTCTCTCTGCGGCTATTAAACTCATATCCATGACCCTTCGCTTGAGCGCTCGCGCTTGGAAGCCTCTGTCAACTGGCCTTTGCTGCGCAACGGTACTTATACAATGCTAGTCACTTCAGACACCGGGTCAACTTGCACACCACAGTATCTCCCACCCCAAACTCAATCATGTCAACCATGCATTACCGCCGAGCCTGGAACCTCACTTCCAGCAAAGTAAAAGAGATCATTGACGTGCACGGGGCAGAAACCCACACCCCCTGGTTCTCTACCCCAGAGCAGTCCCTTTGCTCTAGCTAGATACTATGTACGCTGCCAGTACCGTCGTACTCTGCGCCGCATACCTGTACGTTCAATAGTTTGATCATTCTTCTACCATGAATACAGTCAAAATGTCAATTTCTACGTCTCATGCTAGAAGTAGCTACCTAGCCGGGCAAATCCTATTCTTGCTTGCGAACCTAGAGCAGTGCGGGACCATGTTGTGCTTTGTTGGCAATTTTGATCGTTCCTCAAGCCTGTTCCCACGAATCAGTCTCGTGAACCCAAGCTGCAATCACTAAGATATTATCAGTGACTGAAGAGCACTCGAGGAAAGCACCATGTGAAAGTACCTCTGAGTCAAAAACACTGCATCTAAGCCTCATCTTTACGGTGAAGCAAAGGGATCTGTTCTGCGAGCATGTCATACCACGACTGGTCAAGAAGATTGTTCGCTACCATCAAACCCAGGAGGTCGTTGAGCCAGACCCGACACCCATTGATGGTGACGCAGGGTTGAACTGGATCGACTTGGCTAGCTCAATGATGTGGTTACGTTCGCGCCTGGTGTAGCTCCTGTTGATCTTGTAGATGTCGCTGCGCTTGCTTGTATCCCCTCTACGCATCTTGACAGTATTCTGCATATTGTATTGCCCAGGGATGCCGCTCAACGGGAGAATCTGGGTGCACCACACGGCGCTGGTGGGCTTAGAGTTAGTCCAGAAAAGTACAACGTGCCGCTCGTTGCTGACGCTGTCAATAGTGTGACTGGTGGCATAGATGGAGATGGGCTTGGGTGTATCGTCATTGGGGTAAGCGGATGAGATGTCTTGATCTGAATGATGGACTCGAGGAGGGCCTTGGAAGGTAGAGGTCGACATCTTTAGATGTGATGTGAGACTGTGGCGAGAGGACTGTCAGCATGCTCGAAGGGGTGAAGATGAATACGAAAAACTTGCCAAATCTGAGAGCGTTGTGCTCAATGGCTTGGAGATGATTTCATTGGCAGTGGTGGGAGTAGATATGGGGGTATCCCAATGAAGACCTGCTGGTTCAAGTACCCATGGGCAAAAGTCTCTCGGTATTCTGATTGGCGAACGAGTTGTTGTTTTTTTTCTAGCCCAGCCTCTAACCGACATGCCTTCCACCGCCAACGCAATGGCGCTGCGCATTGAAGAGATGACGAAATTATAAATGCACCTACCAAAAGTAGTAATGAACGTCAGTGGTGCAACGCTTATCATGCGCTTGCCTTCCATATTCCGGTGAGGATGTAAGCGCTTGAGCAAGCGGCGGGGGTTCGACTCCCTCCTGACGTATAAGGGGCGACGCAGACGTATGGAGGTCTTTTTGTGGTACGTGTTTTGCTGCTGCTGGGAAACTGCATGCGGAGACGTGCTGATAGAATCTGAAGGAATGCAAATTGCATAACGATACACACCGCCCCCTCGAAAACATGGATGTACACGACCTGGTCTATCGCTCGAATATATAGGACAGCGTTAGGCCAAGACGTTCTAGTGACAGTCACATCTCCCAAACAAGTTAAGGACTCGAGCTCAGCACAGCGCCCCTTCTGAAGGAGGACTTTGCGAACGCCGACAGTCAAACAACCACCGAAGGTCTGATCGGGCTGAACAAAGTGAACCAAACCCAAAAATCGATAAACAGAACTATAAAATGTAACTACGTACATCCTGAGGAGAAACATGCCAAGTATGCTGAGCTATGTATAAGTCTTTGGTGCGCACGTAAGCGTAAGTGATGCGCGTATTATAACCGTGAGTAGGAGAGAGAAACGGATGAGAGGAAGGAATGCAGAGGGCGAAGATGGGATGGGGTGAGGCTGGAGACGACGATCTAGAGCCAAGAATGGAGATGAAAGGGAGTAGAAGGGATGTAAGCTCAGAAGAAAGCGACGACGACGAGATGGAGCCAAACGAGACGAACGGAGAAAAGACAAGCAACCTTGAGAAGAACAACAACGAGTATGACGGATGACGTCACCTCCTTGACAAGAACGACCACCAAGGAAGACCAAAGGAACACCGAGTTAGAGCGGCCCACCACCGTCCAAGCCACCGAATCCATCTCAACCATGACGTCCAGACCATCGCTGCACAGGATTGCGCACACCGCCCACTCCCTATCCGCCCACCGATCATCGTATGCGAGCGTGTATGCGCACCGAGGACCGACCGATCGCCCCTAAGTAGCGGAGCTGGAGACTTCGAGGAGACACACCCCCAAGGGTGCAAAAGTGGAGCGTGGAGCCGAGTGCAAAGAAAAGAAAGATGGTTCGTTTGGGGCTGGAGCTGCGTGAATCTGGAACAGAACGTTGGGGCTGTTCTGGAAACGGTGCGGTGGACCGGGACTGTGGATCGCGGGTGCTGGAACGCTAGACGGATTCCTGGAATGGATCTAGGAAGACTGGGGATCCGGAGACGCTGGTGGCTCGAAGACAATGGGAGCGATGAGAGACATGTTTGGGGATGGATCGGCGCCGTCGAAGACTGGGTGGAGTAAAAGGTAGGGTGATCGTGCTAAGAGGTGGTGGACAAGGCAGGCAGGTGCTCGTCGTCTGTAGGAATGGAAATAGACTCGCAGCGCGAATCGGACGTGCGAGGGAGTATGGTCAAGGGACTGTGGCACAGTACGGGGGTGTGGAGGCCGTCGCCGAGAATGGTCACCGTGAGAAACGGCCATGGTGGCCACGTCATCCGTGTCATCGCCATCTTTCGTCGCCGTCGTCCACGATGCGCTGGCTACCAGCCGGGATCTAAGTGTACGTACATGTCATGAAATTCGTCGAGAAAGAGGTTGCATAGTGTCGTCCGGTCCACCCTCGCCCATCGCCATCCTCTTCTCCTTCTCCTCACCACCACGCCACCACGACCTCACTGCGTCGTGAATCTCCTCGACATCGCCGCGGGTCTCTGTTGCGACTGCTGCGACTGCTGCTGCCTGATCTTCACCTGGACCCGCTCCCACTCCTGCAAGCACTTGACGAAGCCCGAGTTAGGCTTAACACATGCCCGGGTCTGTTTACACTTTGCCAGAGCGGCATCGAAGGACATGCCGAGGTTGCGAATGAGGTAGGCGATGACGACGGCTGGGGAGCGGGAAATGCCCTGCAAACGCAGTTTAGCACGAGCAAGAGAAAACGGCAGGCAACGTAACGTACCTGCTGACAATGAACGAGCACATTCCCTCCTCTCAACGCCCCTCCGATCCACTCACACACCGCCTCCAAGTGCGGTGTCAAGTCCACCCCAGGATGATCCATAACGTCGATCCGGTAACAGGTAAACTTGTTACTGCCGCTAGTCATATTCTGCGGTAACCAAGGGACATCGAGGACTTGGACGACGTGGGTTATGTGGGCGGTGCGGAGGAGGTCAAGATCGTTGACTGCGGTGAGGGAGCCGAGGTAGAGGGCGCCGCGGGTGGCTTGGGAGGTTGGTGCGCGGGAGAGAGTAGGGCGGGATGAGGTGGGCGAGTTGGGAATAGAGGATTGGGAGGAGGATGGGTTGGGGGTAGAGGATTGGGAGGAGGATGGGTTGGGGGTAGAGGATTGGGAGGAGGGGGCGAGGATCTGGTGCATTGGTGTACACATCGACTGCATCACCTCTGGTGGAAGGCCAGCGAAGGAGATCATAGTGCGAGTTAGTGCCTAGGCTTTTGCGGAGTAGGTGAGGGGGTGGGATGGCGCGGTAGGTCGTCCTCCCTCGATAAGATCCTACGAGCTTGCTTTTGTTAACGTTGGGGAATGGGATGGAAGAAAGAAAGAAACAAGTGGCAAGGAAGGAAAAGTCGGTCGAGTGAGACGCTTAAGACGGCGCTACAAAACAGATGGAGCGCGCACTAGACAGGGAGGTGGAGTGAGTTTGGTAGATAAAGAGAGGTGAATTGTCTTCAATCTTGGGGCTTCCCGATCGTTGGAGCTGCTCAGGCACAGGACTCAATTCTTGCTCGCCTGACCTACGCTTCGAGCAGCGTGCAAGGATCCCAAGTGGCCTGTGATGGAGAGGACGTGGGAGGAGCAGAAGCAAGGAACGAGGATGGGACTGGCGCCCGGCTAGTTCTTATTACTCTATCACATCTCCTTACTGTCTACCTCAATTGCCCACTCAGCACGGAGGACTCAGGAGTCGGACTCGGAGATCATCTCCATTTATCTATTCCAGGCCAACACTTGTTCTGATCCAGCCCTTCTCTCCTTGTTCGGCCTTCCCCTCGTACCTGCTGCTCTGACCGTAAGACCATCGACATAAGAGCTAGCACTTATTACCCCGCCGAGGAGCATCGAGCATCGAGCTTTCCCCAGACCTCAGGGCTAACACCGATTCGCCTGTCACCTCATGAGTGCTGTATATTGCCCAAGTATTAGCTAGCTCGTCTCTTCATGCCAACCAGAGACTGCCGGATATTGCCATATGTACATACATACCCCTGAGTACAAGCTAAACTACATAGCACTCCTCGCACCCTCCATTCCACAAGCCAAGGGGCGTAATCTCCTCGCTAATCGCCGTGATTATGAGCCACCGCCATCGGACAACTCGTCCTAACTATCGCATCTCACCTCCAGGCTTTACACCGGCACTCGGGCCTGCCTCCAGGCACCAGGATTACTCCTCAGCGCGCTAGGATACATAGAGTTAGAGTGACTCAGCAGACACAGGTAACATTGAGCTCCAGGTACAGCTCGAGCTCGTGGCTGAGAATCACCGGGTCATCAGAATCAGACCGTGATTAGCCCCCGAGTCGGCCGCACGCAAGATAAATTTGACCGCTCAGACGCCCGCCCACTGTCAATCTTGGTTGCAGCGCATCATCTCCAGGAACTCCGTCCATTCCGAATTCATAACCAAATCGCCAGGGTATCGACATCAGTCTCACACAATGCAGAGGGGAATAGACGATCAGATAGACTAACTAAAAAACGGACGTATGTAGGAAGAGAGAAAGAACGACACCAAAGCGTCGTCGATAGTAGTAGTTGGCGGAGAGAACATAAAGGTCGGAACAAGAAAGGTCATTCATCGTCGTCGTACGCACAAAGAAAAAGAGAGAGAGAGAAAGAGAGGCCCGCATGCCTAACGCTACGCTGACCGAGTCCTCGTTGATCAGCTCGGGACAACCTAGCGCAGGGCAGGTATTCGACCGCAAGGACGATCCAGCTTAAACGACGAGGCACTTGGAGCTCTTCTTCGTCTTCGACCTGCTGAGGAGGGCAGCACGGGTGGCGTACTGGAACACCTCGCGCACGCCGTCACCGTGCTTTGCGGAGCACTCCAGGTAGTGCTTCGCTCCGATCTTCTGGGCTACAGCCATACCCTGGGAGAGAGAAACACGTTAGTACGAGTTTCTGACGAATGAGGGTTGGGGACTGGGGGGTTAGGAGGGAAGGAAAGCCACGCGGTCAACGCGAGGGCGAAGAAGAGCAAAGCAGGTCGCACGCGAGCAGACGTGTCTAGGAGGCTGCAAAAGCCGATAAGCCCGTGCCACCGCACAAAACAACACCAACAACGATGGCGCAAGTTTGCAGATAACGCAAGCAAAGCCAACGAGAACGCCGATAGGGCGATAGAGTCGTCGAGCGCCGAAAGAGATAGGAAAACCAAACACGACATCCCCGATGAACTCTCGTCGAAAACGGAGGGAAAATGACACGAAAAGGAAAGTCACACACCTCCTCGGGCGACACGGGCCTCTGGCTCGTCTTCCTCAACTCATCAATCACACGCGGGTCGCGCCTAAGATCCTTCTTGCAACCAACGAGGATCACCGGCAGGCCTGCGCAGAAGTGCATCACTTCAGAGATCCACTGTAAACAGAGTAAGAGCGCATGTAAGTATCGGTTTACGATGAACGAGGCATGGCAAGGAGAAGGAGGAGATGGAGATAGGCTAGTAAGGTGATTGACGTAAAACGCCATGCTGCGCCTTCAACCATGTGGGAAATTGTGTAAGGATCAAAAGACGGTGGGACAAATCGGATAACGACAGCTTTAAGGACGGTGCGCCAGTGCGCCACGCACAGCTGAGCGACACACATGCCGGACTCGTATCCCAGACACCGCAATCGCAGTCTCAGAGCGCAGTCATCCTCTCTCCATCCGCGGGGTAAAACATCCAGCACCACACCCAGATACACCCAGGGAGCAAAAACGACGAGTGCGAAACAGAAACAAGCGTACCTTCTCCTGAACGTTATCGAGCGAATCAGGCGAGTCAATGGCGAAGCAGATCAGGATGACGTGCGAGTCGGGGTAACTGAGGGGTCGGAGTCGGTCGTAATCCTCTTGTCCGGCGGT